TTGCACAGAAAGAAGCTATGCCCCTCGAAGCGAAGATCTCAAGCTTTGTCCCCTGCATCCCCAGACGCGGAGCCCCGAATGCGAGCTTCCAGAAAATCCCTCAAACTTAAGAACGGGACCCCAAGCTCCACGCCCTAAAATTATGATTACTATTACTATTACTATTATTATTATTATTGCTGTTATTACTATTAGTATTATTATTATTACTATTACTATTGGTATTATTATTATTACTATTACTATTATTATTACTATTCTTATTATTACTATTACTATTATTTGTATTACTATTATTATTATTATTAATCCGGAGTGTCCCAATAGGCAGAAGGCGCTGGTCCTTTTCCTCGCCTTGGCTGTGAGCGATGGCCTGAAGTACAATGCCACCAGAGACCGTTTGCCGAACTGCAAGGTGCCTCTTGGGGTTCAGGGTTTAGGGTTTAAAGATTCGGGGTTGAGGCTGGAAGGCCCCCAAAGGAACTTAGCTACGTAGCTTAGACTTTGCAGTAGGCTCTACATTGTCTGGTTCCTATGATGCACCTGACTGAAGGCCAGAACCCAGCAGGCGTGTAGTGTTGGAGTATGAAGTTTAGGGGGCAGCGGCATGAGCTCGAAACATAGGGTTTAGGGTGTAGGGTTTAGTTGAGCAGAATGTTTTTTGCCGCTCGGGGAAGAAGTCATGATGTGAGTTCCAGGTTTTGAGATTTCATCTCAATTCTGGAAACTGGTTGTCCCAAAATCATCCCTAATTTTGATCCCCCAATTCCTACGTGAGAGTTGTTTAAGAAAGGATTAATTTGTTCCTTTCATTGTAGGCTTGATAGTGAAGGCCCTAGACCCCTAAAATCACAGACCTGTAAATCTAAAACCCTAAGCCTGGAACCTTAAGCCTGGATCGATAAACCGACAGGGCAGGAAGGAGGCGAGCTCCAATGCTGACACCTGCTCTGGGGTTAAGGCCGAGCTGCAGGGTTTAGGGTTTAGGGTTTGAAGTGAGCTGTAGGATACACTCCTTAAAAGCGGGCTTTATAGGGGATTGCATAGGGGAGTAGTATAGGGTTAAGGAGGGGGATGCTAGGAGTTTAGACTATAAGCCCTGAAATACCCTATATCACCCCAGCTTCGATTTCATTTTCCATTTCCTTCTCCATTTGATTCTCCATTATAGGGGGATACTAGGAGTTTAGATCATAGCTCAAATACTGTTTGGGATTCCATGGTTCAAGCTTATCGTGTCTAGGTTTTGGCGGTTTAGGCCTTCTTCAAGGAGCAATGACTAAGGGTTGACGGTTTGAGGTTTAGGGTTTTTCAGGGGTTTAGGGCTTTGGCAGTTTCGGATTGGGGTCCTGAATCGAAAGTGTTGCTCCTTTCTCAGAACTCCTTGTTTCTTTTTTTTTGTCATGTATATGGCTGGGAGGCTGGTTTTCAAGATGCACTGATGGTATGGAGATATGCGGGGTTAGTCTTGCAGTGCGATTCCTTGCTGGTGCTGGTGATGTAGTGACTCTCTTTCAAGGGGTTGGGGGCAGGAGTTCCAGGAATCGCCATGTCCGGGGTACGCAACCATCGTGGCTGAGAGAGCATGCCGGGAAATCCCAAATGCGAATCCCCGGACTTTGGTGGTCTCTTCAGAGCCAGAATACTCAGATGTACTATAGTCTCTTAAAAGGGGGTTATATAGGGGATTACTATAGGGTTATTAAGGGGGATACCAGGAGTTTAGACTATAGCTCATTTTGCCTTGGCATCCCACCACGATCCTTAAAAGACTTCTTCATTTCGCCCCAAGCCTTAAGCCTCCCCTCATTATCCCTATACAAAACTATGTATCCCCCATATTATCACCTCTTCAAGCCCAAACCCTATATCTTTTAACTGCAGAATCTCGCGGATTGCGAGAAGACGTGGTGCGTGCAGGGAGCTGCCTGGCTGGTTCAGGTTTTAGGGTTGAAGGGTTTAGGGTTTAGGGTTTAGGGTAGGGCATAGCGATTGAGGTTGAAGGCTGTAAGGTAAAGTGAAGGTTTCTGGTAAAAGGGTTCGGGTTTGAGGGCTTGGGGCTGGTAGTGATTGCTGCGTGCCCTTCCTGCTATTGCGACTAGTCTTGCGATGGCGTAGGAGCGGGAGTAGTAGTGGCTGGAGCTGTAGAAGTCGCTGCAGCAGCCGCAGTCGCAGTAGCAGTGGCAGTAGCAGCAGCAGCAACAGCAGCATTGGCAGTGCCAGTTACAGCAGTCCGGGCAGCATTGGTGGTAGCAGTTGTGGCAGAAGCCTCGCGTTTTCCAACAGTGTGTTCTCGGCCTAATCGTCCTTTCAATGTAAGCAGTAATAGTAGGCGTGTTTCGTGTATTTGACGGTATGTTGTTGTGTAGGCAGGGTTGTGAAAATGCCGGCAGGCGCATCAATAATACGTAGTCTGAGGCATTGCTCAGGGGTAGGGGAGCAGCTTTGGGTTGGCTTGGACCCCTTATTGTAAACTCCTCAATCACTGTAGGGTATGGACGAATGGGGTTTAGGGTTTGGGGCCGGTTTAGGGTCTAGGGAGAGTTGCTTTAATCCCTGGACTGATGGGATGTACTACGAACATTGGATGAGCATCCGTTACCTGACTGAAGCGCACCTGGAGCAACATGGATAGGGTTCCGAAGCCTCCGGAAATGTAAGCATGAGATTATAGTTCCAAAGCCTCCTGAGGCCAGACAAGTTCTCCCCCCGGATGATCCGTAAAAAGACACCGAACGTGAGCCAACCGCCAGCTACGTAAAGTTCCCTGAGTAGTAGTCGTTGTTGCCGCTGCCGCCGTAGCAGCAGTAGGACTAGTACTAGTCGTGGTCGTGGTGGTGGTGGTGGTGGTGGTGGTGGTGGGGTGGTGGTCGTCATTGTGGTGGTGGTCGTCATTGTTGCGGTGGCAGTCAACGATAAGGGTGAGTTTGAAGACACATTTTTCAGTTTCAAGGACGCAGCGGGCCTACAACCAGGTGTTGTCCAGGTTCTGCACAGACAGAACACAGAGAGAGAGAGAGAGAGTGGAGGAGAGAGAGACACCTCACGGCAACCCATGCTGGCATTCTTGCCAGCAGGTTCAGCCCGTCACACTCCTTGCTTGGCAAAGCCTGTGCAGGGCATGCTGTACATCCACTCAGTATCCACTCTTTGGAGTTCAGCTGAAAGTCAATTATGCAAATATGCAGAGCGATCGCAAACGGACGTTGACATGCTTTGGGCATGGATGCCCTGGTGACCCTAAGCATTGGTGGATGGACATTGTTAGGCTGTATGCATGGATGCCTTCGGCCTTCGGAAACCGCTCCCAAAGCAGAGGCGCTATCATACTTTAGGCATGGATGCCTCTGGGAGTCGGGCGCTGTGGGGATTGATCAAGACAACTATTGGCGTTGTTCTGGTTCTGCCTCGGGCATGGATGCTGAGGAATTGGGACGAGATGTGCTGGAGTCGCCAGAAAGCTAGGTGGAAGCCAGGTCCAAAGGGCTGGAGCAGTATGGAGGCTGATGGCGGGTTCCCACCATGGTGTCTGACCAGCTTCTGCGACTTGAAGCGGGCCTTTTTGACTGTGTCGACTGCGAGACGGTATCAAGCACCAAGATGCCTTCAAGAAGACGCAGCAGGAGCACAGGGGCAGCAGAAGCAGCAGCAGAAGCAGCAGCAGACGCAGCAGCAGACGCAGCAGCAGAAGCAGTAGCATCAGTAGAATCCGTAGAATTCGTAAATGTCGTAGCATTGTAGAATTCGTAGAAGGAGTAGTCGACGTACTAGAAGTAGTAGGAGCAAGAAGGAGTACACGGAGTAGAAATTGTAGAAGTAGTTAGAAGTAAGTAGTTGAAACAATATAATTAATAGGAGTAGGAGTAGAAGTAGTAGCAGTAGTAGAAATAGTAGGAACAGCAGCAATAGTATGTACTTCATGGGGGGCTTTTCCCCGCCAGGTACCTAGAAGTAAAAGAACGAGTAGAAATAGTAGGATTAGGAGTTGAAGTAGTAGAGGTTGGCGAAGCAGTAGGATTAGTACAAGTAGTCAAAGTAGAAGTAGGAGAGGTATTAGCATGAGCAGTATTAGTAGCATCAGTAGTATTATTAATATTAGCAGTACTAGTAGTATCAGTAGTAGTACTAGCAGGAGTAGTAGTTTTTCTGACTAATGATTTTGCGCAGCTGCTGTTGCAACAGTGCCACTATTCATCCTGCCCCGGCAGAAGGGATTCTATGAGACATGGTTCTTCCGAAGCCCCCAGTTGCCGCAAACAATAAGCCCAATTTGCAGTCCGTCTGTAGGGCTACTTGCCGTGCCGGTACGGAACGTAGAATCTTGGAGTCTATTCTCTACTGTACTGCTGCCCAGGTCGAGAATATTCAGTGCCAGCTGGATGGTGGAGTTTGCGTATCTCAGGGTCCTTTCTGCAAAGAGGTTTCTGGGCTGAAGCTGTCAGGGCTGCGGGTGGTGCTTTTCAGAGTTGATTTCCGGAGTGCATGACCAGGGTTCTTCCTGAAATCGTGTAACTGCAATTCACACGGGCTCATCGGCTTCTGAAAGACGAGATAGGTTCCTGATGATGTGCTACGCAAGCGGCAAAGATTTAATTCCATCCCCAGCATACAAAACCCTCAAAACTCGTTCTCCGGGACCTCCTGTAGTAATGACGGGTCGCGGGCTTGAAGCCATTGTTCGGCTTTGCTGGGTTGTGTCCGCTTCAGCGGTTGACGCGACCGAGGTCATAATCAAACCTTCCCCTTATAACCTGTAGTTAGCACTCCTCTTGGTCAAGCTGAAGCTCCCAACTGCAAAAAAAAATCTGATAAGGGATACTATGATAGGGGTGATGCCCAAGGCGTTTGTTTCAAGTTCAACGACCCCACTCGTCAGTTACCTGCCTTTGCAGGGTTCAATTTTTTGCACGGGCCGCTGTGCGCCGCCGGCGATTCAGATTTTTGTGTCTTGTGGAAGCATTTTGGTGCATGCCATCATCGGAGGGCCTTCACGAACCAAGGCTTTTGAACCGGACTTTGATGGGTTCCGAGATGGCTTGTTGGCCTGGTTCAAGAGCGAGTCAGCAGCCGCAAATTGGCCGAATGAGGTGGAGGGCGGTGCGGCTGCCAGTACATCCGGCTCAAAGTTCCAAGTCGGAATTGGTTCGGGTCATGGAGCCACCGGCAATGTCAAGTTCATCGGGGGCGACACAGGCGTGAAAGTCGACTTCGGCCCAATCCTCACGAAGGACTACACCGTCTGCTCGGTTGACCGCTACACCGGAGGCAGCAAAGGGCGAATTCTCGATTGCAACAATAAGAACTGGCTGCATGGGCACTGGGCTAGCCAAGTTGGTGTGGCACATTACCAGCATTGGAACACGAACAGTCATCGAAACGGTGGTAATGAAGACTGGCTCGTGATGTGTGGCACCGACAATCGCCAGGCCTACTTGGGCAGCAGTCCGGACACGAACATCGCCACCAACGACGGACATTCGTTTGGAAACGGAGAGCACAGGTTGGTAACTAACTACAGGGAAAAATCGAACTTTGCCATTATGGAGGTCATGGTCTGGAAGCGGCAGCTAACCCAAGCTGAGATCAAGGCTACCATGCAGTACCTGAAGGACAAGCTGGAGAACGGTTCCGTCGGAGCCCCAGAGCTTTCTTGCGCGACCGTGGTCTAGGCAAGTTTTGCAGGTGTTAAAATTTCGTAGATTTTTCCAGACGTTTGGCATAGCTCTCACATGTGACGCAACCTTTAAAGGGATGGGATGAGACATGAAACTCATGTTGGTCGCACGTGGCGTGTTTCTTTTTCAGATAAGTCGTTTGTGCCGGGTCCCTTCATCGCGCACGTGCGTAACTGAGCCTGTTGGTTTGTTTTGGCATCGCCATGATTTGGTTGCAAATTGTTAGCAAATCGTTCTGATGTTGCATGTCTAGCGTGAGTTTGTGTATGTGTGCGTAAGGTTTCGTAGTCTATAGTTGTTGCGGTGCACCATCCACACGAAAACAGCCGACAATATCGGGGATGGAAAGCAGAGATTCTGTCCAGTCTCCAGAGTGACCCTTAGTTTGGAATACGGTAATATAGTATGTAAGAACTTTATAGGGATTATGCCCCTCCTTCTATGCCAAGAACCAGTAAGCAACAGAAAGATGAAGATTTCAAGCTCAGGATATGAACCATAGCCAAAACTCTTAGTATCCCCCTCAAGAAGCCCTATAGTAGTCCCTATATAAACCCCCATGTAACCTCCCTTTCAGGAGCTTAAACTATAGCTCACATTGAGAGTTCAAACCCTAAAGCCTAAATCCTCAACCATAAATCCTAAGTCCTAAACCGTCAACTCGAAATCCTAAACCCTAAAATCATAAAGTTGAAATGTCGAGAGTGCGTCGATGCAAGCAAGCCAAACTCAAATAGGCTGGGGGAGCAAGAGCTGCTCCTGTCTGTCGGTACTTGGTGGGTTTAGGGTTTAGGGTTTAGGGGTTTAGCGTTTAGGGTTTAGGGGACAAGAAAATGGAAACTACTATATATCAAGTAGCGTTTTGGGTTGAGGGTCTAGGGTTTATGTTTTCGGGTCAGGGCGACTTGGTATGTAGGTCAATAACCCCTTTAACCCATAGAGTAGTCCTAATTATCCACGTTATTAACCTACTTGCTAAGTCCCCCTGACCCTGCAAGTACTTGCACATGGGAGACATTCCTTGTATATACACGACCTCTGACCCCAGTGCTCTGATTCCGTAAAAAAATACAATGATCGTCCATTGCAGTTTAGGGTTTAGGGTTTAGGGAGAATGGAAGACTGGGATTAGCACCTGTTGGAAAAACTTCGCTATGATCAAATGCACCAGTCCTGCGATCTGTGGTTTCCAGTCCATGCCTCACAGAGCTCAAGAAAATCTTAATTTTGGCTTTTCCTTGTAGTCCTCATCATAAGGATCTTCTTGTTCGTGGATATTTACCCACATTTTGCCAAACGGCACCACTTTGCATCAGGTGAGCCCGCCAGAGTGGAAGAAATGTGCTTGCGAGCACAAAGACCATTCCAGCTACCGCGGTTGTGGCTTGCTTCCTGTTTGATATCTTCTTGGCTTTTAGTAGTTAAGTCCTTCATACCTAGCAGACTCCAAAGGGGCATGATTCCAATAACCAGCGCCACCACCCGCACCTCCACCGTAGGGACAGTGGTGCGCAGGTGGCATGGACAAGACGTGCAGCTGCACCGGCATTGTGAAGTATGGCTATGGCGACAAATGGTACCTGAATCGGATTAGGGTTTGTGGTGTAGTTTTTGAGATACTTGTCGGGGTTCAGATTTGTTTACATAACTGCAAGAAGGATCTAGTTCCTTCCCAGTGAAACAGGGACTAAGGTTCTTCAAGGAAAGCAAAGGAAGCATCGAATGCTCCAACTCAGTCTTTGGAGACCCGTTTGGGGGCCACTTGGCCAGTTTTGGCAGTTTTTGAGTTGAAGACAAGATACGCTGCATATGAGCTATAGTCTGTAAAGGGTTATATATATAGAGATTATATAGGGGACTACTATGGGGTTATTAAGGGGATACTCGAGGCTTAGACTGTAGCTCATATAGACAAGAAAGTTAGATATTTAAAAAGAGCTCCCGATATTTCAAACCTCTTGGGCCGGGAAGCAAATGCTTGTGCACAGCAGCTTGGTTTAGGAGTCAATTGTCTCTATTGGCGTCGCGTCGTTGCAAGCCTGTTTCGGTACCACCGCTTGGCACCAAAACTTTGATGCTGAACCCCAATATCCCGCAATCCCTGAAGCCCAAGCCTAAACCAAAAACCCCATAGCTCAAGTGATGATCCAGGCCAGGGGAAGGATTGCCAGTGCGCCAGCAGCTAACGGGAGGAAGGCTCCTTAGCTGCAACAGGGTTTAGGGTTTAGGGACAAGAAAATGGAAACTACTACATATTGTCTAGCGCTTTGGGTTTAGGGTCTAGGGTCTAGGTTTTATGGTCAGGGCGACCCAGTAAGTAGGTTAATAACCCCTAAACCCCATGTAGTAACCCTAGTTATCCCCATGATTAACCTACTTACTAAGTCCCCTTGACCCTCCAAGTAAGGGAATATCATATAGCCATATAGGGCTTAGGGTTTGGGGCTTAGGTTTAGTAGGGAATACGGGAATATGATACCTGTATGATATACGCCCTTATTTCTTACTAACCACCAGTACGTCAAAGCCAGATCTTTAGGATTCCCGCCTGGTACCCTAAACCCTCAACCGTAAACCCTAAGCCTTTGCAACCCTAGACATTTTGCTGAGTTTCCCTCGGACCCCTGAATGAATGGCAAAGCCAGGGCTTGAAACTCAGAGGAGTCTTGTCCATTCACCCTTTCCCAGTGTGTTAAGCAACCCCCTTGCACCTTATGTCAAATACTCTCTCTAGTGACCCGAACAACATTGTGCATATTTACATCAGAAAGTAAGGGCGTTCAATGTCGTGGGAATGGCTTTGTTGCCTGCAGTCTGGTTCTGCGGCATATTCCTGGAGCTCTCTCAAAAGCAGCGGGAAATGTTGTTTAGGGTTTAGGGCTTAGGTGTGTAGTCGGAGCGGAGATTTGTAAACGCACGTTGTCCGAGGTTCCGCAAGGTGCCGGACATTTTCGTGTGTTTGCTCATCAATGCAGCATGCACAAATGCTGAAGCTGGAGCGTCACAGAGGTTTTCGACTCTCCGAAAGAGTCGGGGATTTAGATTTTAGGCTTTTAGGCTTTAAGGTTTAGGCTTTATTAAAGGTCCGCGGACAAGCTTTGGGGCCCCTCACTCTTCGGGACCAAAAGTTCGGGTGGCTTGGCACGGGTTATTGAAAACCATTTTCCGGGTCAGGGTTGAGGTGTGGGTTACCTGGGGACTGCTAAAGGATCCCTTCCCTTCTTGCCTACTTACTTGTACCAGTGGACTGCAGCACAAGTACAGTTTGGCCAGGGATTGCACAGGGACTATTTTGAGAAACTCCCATAAGGGCTTGAGTGGAACTTAGCGTGTTGATTTGGGGTTTGGGGTTGGGTGTAAGGGGTTGGGTTCTGTTTCCAGAGAATCACCGCATCCTAAGAAGAAGCTCCTTACAGTTAGGCAAGGCTTCATATGAAATCTCACAGTCCAGGGAAGGTGTTTCAATATTGTGTAGCGGCCGAAAAATCGCATATGATTCCGACATTCCGACGATACTTCTACTACTCTACTCTACTCCACCCCAGTCGGGCCAAGAAATCGACTTGTTCAACCCTCAACCCTCAACTCTAAGCCCAGTCCCTGAGCCTAACCTTGGAAGCCCAACTTGAATTCTGTTTAGGGGTAGATGTTAAGTGGATCCCCCACCCAGTAATAGTGACTATTAGGGATGATAAGGATTATATTAGGGCCCCAGTATATTCCTAGATTACAGGGTGGGGGTCCTCCTATGGTGGATGACCCTAAACCCCAACCCTAAACCCTAAACCCTAAACCGCATTTCGGAAGTTCCCAACCCGCAAAAAAATCAACTTCAGGTTGCAAGGATCTGCTCTGATAATGTAGAAGAAATCCTGCGTTACCTTCTGGTCTAGGGTGGGGGATTGGGGTTTAGGGTTGAGGTAAGGAGCCAGGAGCCCTGAAAATTCCAGTAGTTCAGGGATTCCATTTGAAGCAAGATTTCCTTCACCAATTCAAGGGCTTAAACCTTCAACCCTAAACCCTAAAGGATTCGTGGAAAGGAGTCCGATGATATCAACCCGCCCCTCCCCCCCCCACCCTTAATATCCAACATGCCCGCCAACATGTAGGTCTCTTCTGGGAAGTAAGACTAGGGGTAGGAGGGGTATCTGGAGTATTCTGGCGAGGGAGATTTTGTGTGTTGTTATAGAAAGCATGCGGCGCGGACCGACAAAAGCCATAAGCTTGGAAGGAGCCGCCCTCCGACTGCATTCCCCCGTACGTGTGTCTACAATACTGATTTGGGTTGTGGGGGTTTCGGCTCGCTGAGGGTGGAGTGTTCGGGGATTTCGGGTAGAAGGTTTGGGCCCAGGACTTCGGATTCAGCAGCGCCCTAAACAGTTCAAGGCGTGTATGGGCCACTTGCAGGGCTGTTGGGAAGTTCAGGGTTTGGGGCCATGGAGTGTTCTAGGTTTAGGCCACCTGACAGCCCCGAACTTTTGTTGGGGCTTAAAATCTGGAGGACCCACAAAGGAGTTCAGAAAAACCATGTAATGTAGGGGCTTGAACTTGAGGTACCCGTTACCACCATTACACCAGGAATCTGCGACCGTAATCTAGGTAATTGTCCTTGTAAACCTCTGTGTAAACCTGCTTTCATTGGCCTTGACCTCTAACCCAAAATAATCCTACAGCCCCTACGAAACCCATACAGACGTCGGTTACCGCCGTTGGTTTGCTCTAGGCTTGGCACCTAAAACGCCAGTGCGACGCTGCCATTAGCTGGCTCGAGTTGCTTCTTGCCTGCTTCCAGTCTCACCCTGTGAGGCCCCGAGACAATGTAACTTGCCTGAAACTTGGAGTTGCTAGACTTTGTTGTAGACCCCACAAAACCTTAGACCCCGAACCCCTAGATCAAAAGAAGAAACATCAGACTTGCACGAAAATCCAAGTTATATTCGGCTTATGCTTCAGTG